ACCTGTTTCAGTCACCTTTATGGCAATTGGAACAAATTGTTCTCATCTGCCCATTCTGCTTTTCTGGGAAACTCTTCACATGGTTGGGGTAGACAGCCCCCTAACTCATGGGTTTGAGGCCTGTTGGTTACCCTTAACTTGCTTTAGCCAGTCTGCTGGGGGGTGGCCAATACGCATGCTATAGCTTCTTGGAGCTACAGGTGATAGTTGAGTACCAGGTAGACAACAAAATTGGATGAGCAGCCCTTAAAAGGGCTTGGGAAGCCCTCATACCAAGGTGCGAGTTCTCCCTAAACACTCCATAAATCTATCCCTTAGGAAACAATAAAACAAAATCAAAGGAATGAAAGTAGAAGAAAGTATGAGATAACTCACTGGGGAAAAAAAAATGACCTGGAAAGTAGATGAAGTAAAGTTGATTTAAGAATTAATGGACTTGGCTTAGATTCTTAAAATCTAGCCACTGCTGGGATTCTTATAATCTAGACACTGATCAGATTCTTATAATCTAGCCAATAGCTTACTAATGCTCAGACTCCTTAAGAGTCTGCCCAATATTGGGGCAGCTAGGTGGCACAGTGGATAGAGCACCGGCCCTGAAGTCAGGAAGACCTGAGTTCAAATCTGGCCCCAGACCAAACACTTGACACTTACTAGCTGTGTGACCCTGGGCAAGTCACTTAACCCTAATTGCCAAAAAAAAAAAAAGAGTCTGCCCAATGTGATGGATGTTCTAATAAACCCTGTCTTTGGCTGAAAGAAGGCTTGGGTCAAATTCTTTCAAGCAGGCCCTGCGTGTTGTGATTTTGGGGTCCCAGCACCCCTGAACCCCTAAACTGCATCATATGTAAGCCTCCCTCCCCCCTTCTTTCTTGCTCTGCAGTTGGGGTCACTCTCCAAGCACCAAGATTTGGAGGTACTTTTCTGGCAGACAGCTACAAGGCTGCTGGCACTCGGCCTGACACTTTCAGTCTCTCTATCCACTAGGTCAGTTCGAGGCCATGGACCTGGGTACACCTTGCAGCATAGAGGACAAGGACAGACCTGAAGTGTATGCTCAATTGTGGTAATTCCCTAGGCACTAGGGAATTTGGGAAAGCTATAGTTGCTTTTTTGGTGCCCTGAGGCTTACTTACTCCCTTCCCTCTGCACCTCTGAATCCTCCTTCATGGAAGTTACAGAGAAAGTTAGAACAGCTAAAAATATCTTGGCATATTTTGGAGGTTTTGTGATCGATCATTAAGGAGTTTAGAAACTCCTGTACAACCTGGTCACTCCCTTCCCTTGAGTCAAGAGGGTATCTGTTAACCCCTCTCATAGGAGAAGAGAGTTTCACCCTTTACCCCTCACCTTTGATTTCACCCTCCCCCACCCGGGAAAGGAAGGAGGCGGGAGGGTCAGCAGTTACAGCCTGAGGACCACTGGCAATGGCCTTGGGCTCTAGGGCAACCTTTGCCTGGAAGCATCACCCAGGTTCAAGGTAATGAAGCTAGCCTCTAAACTTGGGTAAACACGCTCTTTTAAATTTGTAGTTTTAACTGTTAATGATGAGATTCTCTGTGCAAAGTAATTTGGACATGCGTTTAACAAAACTGAAGTCACCTGATTGGTAATGGGTTTGTTTCTAGTTTCAAATTGGTGATCTTTCTGCATCAGTTATGTCAAACAACTTTTCATAATTTGGTTACCGATAAAATAATTTAGCTATTGTTGGTTATTGTTTTAATGTGTAAACTAGCCAAAAAGTTTGTTTGGGTTATGTATGGCTCGCTTGAGAATTTACAAGTGTATAGAAATTTCTAATGATTGGCTTTTTACACCAGGACAAATTTAAGTTTGAGATGTAAATCCTGGAAAAGTTTTTCCCAAGCTGTGGTTAGTAAAGCTTGCTGTTTGAGGTAAAAGCTCCTAGGATTTATTTTGAGTTGTCTGATGGATCATAATCCATCCATAGTCAATAATCCAACATCTGAGAGAAATGCCACAAGCTACTCAGAGAATGTGATACTGGTGGGAAGTCAGCATGGGGAAAAGCTGAGAGGACAATTTTAGCTTCAGTCTAAGATGAGATCCTCCTGGCTCAGTTTCCCCATTATGTTGCTTTGAAAGGGAATGTTACCTACCTGGCTATTCCTGAGTCTGGCTATGAGGTGGATTTGATACTGCATGGTTAGAAAATTGAATTATTTGAATCCAAACAGAGCTAAGGATGTTTTATCCTCTAAAAGTTGGGCCCTACATCTACTCCCTGCTTTATATCTGGGCCCTGCAGTTTTTTCTGTCTTCCAGACTATGGACCATTCACCTACAGTTGGTAGCAAGCAGCAAGTACCAGCCAATGCCCCACCATTCCCTGGATGCAGCCTGTGCTTGGTTCCAGTCAACCTCCTCTTTGGGACTCCCTTGAGGCAGGGACAGCTCTATGCCCCTTGCCAGCAGGAAGCAGTTTCAGAAGCTGAGACTTTTGCCCCTTACCCCAAAAGAATTTGGGTCCCATTTGTTTGAGGGGAGAATGATAAGGCTGGGATCTGGGACCCAGAAAGCAAAAACTCTGGACTTTCCCACACGGCCAAATCTCTGCCATTTGCCTGAGGCTATAATCCCAGTAACTGGCCTTTCATTGTGGCTACACCCAATCTCCCCACCATTATCTTACCTCCCTATGGCCCCAGGCCACTTTCCACCCTTGGTCCTTTCTAGGCTCCATTTCACCTGGAATTCCATTTTATCTCATAGACTACTTGGCCACTCCTAGATCCCTCCCACAGACTTTCTGTAAATAAGGTCCATCTTGTCTCCATTAAGATGCTTATATTCTTAAAATCTAGTCACTGCTCAGATTCTTATAATCTAGCCAATAGTTTACTAATGTTTAGACTCCTTAAGAGTCTGCTCAATGTGACAGATGTTGTAAGAAACCTTGTCTTTGGCTGAAAAAAAAATGAAAAAATAAAAAATAAAGAATTAATGGATTACCTGAAAGCCATGACAAAAAAAAAAGAGCATAGACATCATATTTAAAGAAATCTTCAAGGAAAAATGCCCTGATATGAGCAGAACCAGGATAAAATTGCACACAATAACAACTATGCTATATAATGATCAGCTGTGAATGCCTTACCTATTCTCAGCAACACAATGATCCAATTCAGTTCTAAAGGACTTATGATGAAAAATGCTGTCCACTTCCAGAGAAAGAAGTGAAGGTATCTGAATGCAAATTGAAGCATAATTTTCTCTTGGTTAGTTTGTATTGTTTTCCTGGTTTTTCTTTTTTTTTTTTGTTCATTTTTTTTTCACAACATGACTAAGGTGGCAATATGTTTTGCATGATTGCACATGTACAACCTATCAAACTGGAGGCAGGAATAGAATTTAGAACCCAAAAATTCTTGTAAAAAATGCATGTCAAAGTTATTTTTAGATGTAATTGGAAAAATTAAAATATTAAACAAAATAAGAATGCCCACACTGCAGTATCAAAGCATTTCAGATGTAAAAGGGAAGGACAGGAACTGAGAGATGGAGGCATCTTGAGGGTTGGAGATCCAAGAAGCTCTTTGTCCTCTGCAATGAAGGTGGCTTATAATTTAACTCTTCTGTTCCTATCCTGGTTACCAGAACCTCAGCAGAATTCTAAAACCTCCCTTTGTTAGGTATCTGCATGAAGCCAGACTATTTGTCATGTCAAATGTTTCAAGGGTAGACAGGCAGAAAAAGAAGAGGACAAAGAAACCCTTATTTGCCTGGATACTCTGGTCCAGAAGCATCATTGAGGATAATGACTCATAATGTCCTTGAGGGCAAGGAGTATTTCATTTTGTCTTTCTATCACCAGAGTCTATTAGAGTGTTGCATACATGTAGAAATGGGAATTTAACAGATCTTCATTGATTTAGTAGGTGATCGTGGAAATGGTGAAGAAAGAACGAGCTCTAACATGTCTGGCTGTTTGAGGCTGAGGATTAATTTGGGAAAAGTAAACAGGATAACCTGTCCCTTTCCTCCACAGAGCAGCATGTCATCCCAAGCAACCTGGATTGAGTTGGAACTTGCAAAAACAAGGCTAAGAATTCCCTGACAAAGAGCAGCTGTTTAGGAAGCCCTGATAGGTGCTGAGTGGAAGGATTTATCTGCTTCACATTGGCCCTAAACTATCTACAGATTCACATTACAAAAAAAAATAAAATAAAAGCTCTAAAATCTTGATTATTTTTTTTCTTTTTGGTACCAAATATTAATTTCCTCAAAATTTATTGACTTGTGGAACTTTTTACACAATAGACTCTCAAGTAAAAACATTGGGGTTTAAAAAGAAAAAAAGAGAGAGAGGTGGGTATTTTAGTAGTGGACTAAACGTGCTCAGAACAAAGAATGACAGGGAAATGGTTTCTGTCACTGATTATTTCATTATTCTCAAAACTCACTCATCCCTCAACCCTCCCAACCACATGTACATGATCTTTAAGATCAAGAAAAAGGTTTTAATATTTTAAAATGATTAAAAGAACTAAAAATTCATATTTAAAAAGCAACACTCAAGTAAGGAAGCATCTTCCCATCGTGCTTTGCTGTGAACTGATATCTGAACTGAAACATTGTCAATGTCACAGCTGCTTCAAGTTAAATGAAAATCGATTCTCATGATGACAGTGACAGCTCTAACAGGTGTGCTGGATTTCTGTTTTCCTCAATTTTAAATTACTGAAATGGGATAGGAGGAACAGGAAAAGGGAGAGTTAGGAGTTCATTTTCTATTAAAATATAGAAGTTATTGTAAATCCCTAACTGTAAAAACACACCAATATAATCAGACTTCGTATACAGTAGCTAAAGAACCCAAACTCTTTGGTAAAATAGTGAGTTTGTCTGACAGAAGACTGAAAAATTCCCATCCACTCACCCTCTTAAACAAAACAAAACAAAAATTAAAAAAAAAGTCATACAGTTAGAATTTTGATATTTGATATTTTAAGTTGCCCATAGGACAACTGCCTCAGCTCTCAGAGTATTTCCAAGTTTTTCTCTTCTCAAAGATGTTGGCTTGTTAATGCTTCCTTACTCACTTGCTGTCCCTCTCCCCAAATGTCCCCAAGTACAAGGGCAAGTAAGGTTCACAGTTCCTTATTATTCCTCAAACCTGTTTCCACCCCATAAAACTTTACCCTGTAAAAACAGCTAAAATTCATAGTCTTTATTTGCCATATCAATGGCCCAGGCAAACTTCTCACGCTGGGTTTTGTTATAGATTTTCTCAAGCGGGATCCCCCACTTCTTACACCAAGCAACTGAGATCCTGGGATCTAAATAGTTGAGTTTGGAGGTGCCCAAGTCAATCTGTTTGTTCTTCTCTCTGTCTGTGGCCTGAACCTTCAGTTTCATCAACTGCTCCTTCAGCCTGTGCACAGCCTGCCTCTTAGTCTCTACCACCTTTTTAGAACTGACGTCCTTTAGGACTTTAGCCTTAGCTTTGGCCCTTTTCAGATCTCTTTGGGCATCAGCTAGCTGGTCCTTTTTTGGCTTTAATCTTAGTCTGCAGGTTCAGCATGGATTTCTCAAAAGTCTTTGGTGGAGTCCTCTGATGGTTACACAGAATTGCTACAGCTCTGTTGGCGCAGTTATAAGAAAGGATCTTTGCTTCGATGTTTTCATCCAGGGTAGTGAACTCCTTTAGCTGCTGCTGTAGTGTGACAGAGGCATTGTACGTACGGAAGACTTTGGCTGTCAAGCCCTCCATGAGATCTCGAAGGTGTTTGTTGAGGGCATTTGTAGTAAGTCTGTCAAACAGATTATCCTCAGGCTGCTTGTTCTCCATAAATAGCTGAAGGTTCTCAAAAACCATCTTCTCAACAGGGACCTTGTTGTAGTATCGGATGGAATCCTTCCCCAGGAAATCAAACTCAACTACATATTCTTGTCCATCCATCTCAGGATGCAAGTTAATGTGCTCTATTCTAAGGGAACAGCAGCCCACAGTATCAGCTGTCTCCCCTTCTTCCTTCTCATTTCCAGATCTCAGCGCAAGCTTGTCAATGAAGTATAGTGCTACAGCCCTCTGTCTTCCTCGGACTTCCAATCTTCTTGGTATTGTTTCCGGATCTTGTCTACACAATTTTTCAATCTGCGGGCTGTCTCATACTTCTGCCAGTCCTTCTCCCCCTTGATTCGTGAGCTAGGGTTCAGCATAATGTACTTGGAGGATCCTTGGATATTCTCTGTCCAGGACACTAGCCAGGTAACCTTGTTATCATGTCTAACTTCTTTCCATTTATGTCCAGGGGGAGGAGGAGGAACCTTGGCATCTTTGCTACAGTTGATAATTATATCTTCAGGCATAATCCGTCTTTTCAACATTCCCATCTTGGGATGGTTGCCACGGCCATGGAAAAGACCTGGAGGTTCAATCTTGAAGTTGGCAATTCTCTCATTGTGACTGTCCATCACACAGAAACCATACTCTTTTAATAGCCTTTTATTTGCCTCTTTGATTTTCAGTTTCTCTTCTTTGTTCATTTGCTTCCTTGCTTCTGACTGTGCTTTGAAATACTGACTTGTCTGGTTGAAGTCACATTTGCTAAGACTGGTGATATTATTTCTCTCTTCACTTGTCATTTCCTTTCTCCAGTCATTGAAGAAATTTTCCCTAAAGATATCCTTAGTAGCGTGTTCATGGTTAAGCATTTTTGCAAAGAACGTAGCCGCTTCTTCTGCTTTGGGACTCAGCTTCATGACTTTACCATTGTAGTAGAGCTTGACTTTTTTAGGCAGAGGCTGGTAAGGTGGTGCAAACACAGGGCCTCTATGTTCTAGGAATTTCCACTTGATGCCTTCAGGATAGCGCTTTTCTTTCCACCATTTCCATTTTTGCTGCTCTTCTTCGTTCAGCTTCTTCCACTTATTATCTGGTTCAGGAAATTTCTTATCTTTGTTCTCAATTTTTTTTGCTTTGTTGTTCTCACCTTCCTCTGCTTTCTGCTTCTTTACTTTCTTGATGTCTTCTGTTTTTATTTTCTTGGGTTTATAATCAGCATCATCATACTCTCTAGGTCTCTTTAAAGGCTTGATATCTTTTTTAGGTGAAGCAAAATAACCACCATCAAGAAAGAAATCATTTTCTTTCTCCTTTATTTTTTCATCTCCAGATGGTTTTTCCTTTTTCTTCTTTTTGTTTTTCTTTGTGTTTGTCTGTGTATTTCTCTGAGCTGCTTTGTGTCCGGTTTTCTGCTTTTCTCTGTGTTTCTTCTCAGAGGAATCTTTGCGCCCACTTTTACTGCATTTAGACTTTTCCTGATCTTTTTCCTCGTACGTCTTGTTCTCTTTCGGCCGGTATTCTTGATGCTTGGATTCATCTTTGCGTTTGTGATAATCATTCACTTGGGAACCCGCATGGATCAGGGAGGGGTAGTGTAGCTGATCCCCGCTCATGTCCAATGTAGCCGCCTCACCGGCAGGAGTGGGAAGGGAGCGAGGGAGAGAGGCATAGCCGATTGGCCTGGGTCTTAGTTAAGGAGATCAGGCACCGGAGCAAAGGGGACTGCGGGCGAATGAGTCCGAGGAATCAATGACAGCAGCGGGAATGGCTGACACTGGGGAGGGAACGAAGTTCCGCGGAGTTGTGTAACACACTAAGTTCGCATTTCTTTTTCCACTTCTTTTTGAAATCATACATCTCTTCATTTCTTATAGCGCTAGAGGAGTCCATCAAATTCACAAACCACAGCTTACTCAACTGCTCCTCAACTGATGAATATCCCCTTACTTTTCAGGTTTTTGCCACTACTCAACCGCCGTAATCGCTCTGGAGTATCGCAAAGTAAACATATGATTTGTTTGCCAGATCTTTCTCCAGAAGATGATATGAACACATCTCTGATTGTATAGGAGGAGGTCTAGAGCAACGTCTTTTGTTTTAAGAAAACCCCTTTTGAATGAATCCATTCATAGGTGAACCTCAATTAGTCATAAAAATCCTCAAACCCACATGCAGAGAAAGCTTAGGTCTCAAAATTTTCTATGAAGCTGGATGGAGTTAGGAAACAGCATCGACAGGGATGATGAAACATGAAGTATTTTGGTCTGATTCACCCCTAAAAGTCCAAGCCTAGCTGTGTCCCTGGCATGGCACCACCTGAAAAAATGGAGCTTTCAGTATATTTTATTCATAGGCACGGTCATTATCTACAGAAGGAATACAGGGACTAGACCCAATGACGCAACAATGTGCTCTCCCTAGGGTACCATAAAAAGAGTTCACGTCCCCGGTGGACAACAACAATTACTAGCTTTTTTTTTCTTTTGATACTATACTTTTTTTTTTGGAAAAATGCTGTCGATAATTTTTTTTTAGCCAATCTATAGTTAATATATTTCCTTCTAGTGCCTATTGAGTTACCCAGAATTTTGATTTTTCTGAAATGCCAAGTCAAGGATCCATACTTGAATAGGTGGGATAGTTCATAACACATCTTCCACTTAATAAATAAAACACAGAGACTTGAACGGTGATCAAAGAGTTTAAGCGACTTGCCTTTGGTGATACAGCTAGTATGTTTCAGAGGCAAGATTTGAATACAAGTATTCCTGAGTCTAGGACTAACTCCTTATCCCCTCTCCACCACACTCATCCTCTCATCCTCATACCTGACAGAAAATACATTGGTTCTAAGAGACCAGGAAATCTCATAAATAATTTAAATACTGAAGGAAAAAAAAAAGAACCAGAATGACACATTTACAGGTTATATCCTCTCAAATAAGTGCTTAAAATTTGATATTCCAAAGCGAAAAGTTGACAATGTGATTTGGTATCTAATACAATTGCTTTTTGAAATCTCAAAACCACTGTAACATTTATGCAAATATCAGTTTTTCATTTAATTGTGGCAAGTGTCCTAAAAGTTTTACTTATTGGCAAAAGCAACAGATAATGAACTATTGATCAAAAGAGAGTTTAGGAAATGCAGAGCTTAACTGAATTATCTATCTGCTCTTAGAAGGAACTTTGATGTAGTGGGAGAAGGGAGATAACCTATTGATCCACTCATCCCTCCTCTTCTCTGACCCACAGTGATGAATAAAAGGAGAAAAAAAAATAGCTGAATTCAATGTACCTCAGCTTCCTTGGTATTTTGCAAGGAGGAAGACTTGAAAGAAGAGCCATGCTCAGCCTTGTAGCAAGTTGATGCTATTTCCATTCTGTGGTGTGCAATGTCCTACTTCCCTCTTATTAGGTCACATAAAACATCATCATCAGCAAACAAAGGCTGGTTGAAGTGAAGCTAGGCATTATGTATTTTACCCAGCTGACTACTGGCCCGAAGAATAAATGGCATGACATGATCCCCAATGAGGTCTGTTTAATCCTTCTTTGATCCTAGAGTTGGGCAATGTTGGCATTGAAAAGAGACATTAGCAAAAAGGAAACAAACATGTTAGTGGCCTGAAGGAATCAAGTGATTTTTTTCAAGGTCATCTGGCCAACAGAAGATTATAGGATCAAAGATTTCAGAGGAAATGAATCTCAGAAGTACTAGACTAAACCTGTCTCAGCCCAGTCCCTTGATACTATAGGTTCAATATTTGAACAGAGTGAGATACTTGTTAAAGTCACTCAATAGTTAACCAAAAGAGATTTATTTTCTCAGAGGGAATGATTTTCAAGGATAAGCATAGAAGACGTCTCAGGTTGATTCCGAGCATAGCTCCTTTGCCTAAATTACTGGAGTAACTCGGGTTTTGTCCTGAGCTCTCTTCTCTTCTCCTTCTAAACTTCTTTATTCTATAATCTCATTAACTACCCTGGATTTAATTATTCTTTGCTGACAATTGTCAGTTCTAGCTATCCTGCTAAACTCTCAGCTAGCCTCCAGTCTTGAATCTTCAACTGACTTTCAGACATCTCAGATTGGATATCTGATCAACATCTCAAACTCAATCTGCCTGAAGCATAACTCAGTACCTTTCCTTTAAACCTTCTTCTCCTCCTACCTTCCTTATTACTGTAAAGGGCAACACCATTCCTCCAGTTCCTCATGTTCCCAAGCTTGGAGACATTCTGGACTCCTCACCATCTTTCACTTCCCTTATCCAAGCTGTTGACAAGACTTGTTGATTTCATCTTTCCAACGTCTCTCAAATATGTGCCTTTCTCTCTTCTGACACTGCCACCACTGTAGTTTAGCCCTCATCACTTCACATCTGAATTATCACAACAGCCTGCTGCTGGTGGGTCTGCCTATCTCTACTCTAATTCATCCTTCATTTAGACACCAGTTATTTCCCTAAAACATCACTCCAATCATGTCATCATTCTACCTCATAAACTCCTGTAGCTCATCATTGCCTCCAGAATCAAATACAAAATGCTCTGTTTGGCATTCAAAGCCATTTATACTCTAACCCCCTCCCACCTTTCCAATCTTCTTACACCTTACTTCTCAACACATATTCTTTAGTACAGTGACACTGGCCTCCTGGCTATTTCATGAACAAGGCAATCCATCCCTCAGCTCTGAACATTTTCTCTGGCTGTCACCCCTATCAGGAATGTTCTCCTCCACAACTCTACCTGCTGGCTTCCGTTCCTATAAGTCCTAACTGAAACCCCATCTCCTTCCTATAGGAATCCTTTTCCAACCCCTCTGGTGCCTTCCCTCTTTTAATTATTTCCTTTTTATCCTGTATATAGCTTGTTTGTATATATCTGCTTGTCTGTTATCTTTTTTTTTTTTGGATTGTCTTTTTTTTTTTTTTTAAGGCAATTGGGGTTAAGTGATTTGCCCAGGTTCACACAGCTGGTAACTGTCAAGTGTTTGGTATGAGGCTGCATTGGAACTCAGGTCCTCCTGACTTCAGGGCCGGTGCTCCATCCACTGTGCAACCTACTTACCCTTGCTTATCTGTTATCTTCTCCATTATGTTGTGAGTGCCTTGGGAGTAGAGACTGACTTTTGCTTCTTTTTGTATACCCAACACTCAACACAAGGGCTGGAAGATAGAAATGCTTAATAAATGTTTATTGACTAACCATTGCATGTTCAATCAAATATCAGAGTGTGTCTGGATCTCCTTGTAGCTTCCTTGCACTTGGGTGATGAAGAAGTGATGTCAACAGCCTCAGCCTTTAGCTCTCTCAGTCAACCAGCTCTCAAGGAAGGTCTCAGTTATCTTTTAATTAAAAAACAAAACAAAACAAAACACAAAAAAAAAAACCAGCTACAACCTTGAATTGCTAGAATATACTCCTACCATACTCCACACCTTGTTGGTAAGGTCCATAAAGGATTCTAGAGGAAATTCCTTCTATTAAATCCCTTTTTTGGCTATTATTATTCAACCCTGACAGGCAGCATTAGAGGAGGAAGATAGACACTAAAACAGGAGCAAAGTAAAAACAAAACAATATAAAGCTTCCTGAAGTAGTGACTGAATTTGGGAGAATCAAAGAAAAGGCCAAATCTCAGGTTTAAAACAAGTCCCTGTGGCAGGCAATGCCAGTCTTTGCAGTTCATCCTAAATCTCTAAATCGGGAGAAAAAAAAAGTACCATAACATCAGGGTCACAGAAAAAGTACCAACATTTCTTTCATGGTCATGGATTTTCATCCTAAGTCAAGAAGAATTGCCTTATAATGTTTCCATTTAGTTAGTGTTTCTTGGACCACCAGGCAAGACTAGAGAACTGCCCCTTACCAAAATCTTTGCCCCCTGAGGCATGCCTTTCCCCTCTACTGTGGGGGGTGGTCAGATACTTTCAATCTCCTTTTGTTGACAAAGAAATACCCCTCCAAACAATGCCTGTCTCCTTTGGTCTTTTAATTCCTTCCTGGGGAGAAGCTGCAAAACAATCACTGAGTGTTGTAAGGGAAGCAATGGGGAGGGACCAATCAGTTACATATAAAAGTAACCAGTGGGCTGCAGAGGCCTTATCCTTTGCCATGCACGTCCCTTGTATACTCTTCTCCCAATGAACTGCTACTGCAACTGGAAACCAATCTGGTATCCTGTGCCAAATTTCCTGCTATTTATAGGACCTGAGCTCTTTTTCCTTATAGGAGGACAGTGCTTCAGTAGGCCTAACCACTTTGGTGTCCCTGCTGTTATTTCAGGCCTGACTCAGCCAGTTTCTGCATAATTGTACTCTCTGCCTGGGCTACCACTTGGCCTCTCTTATTTTAGGTAGGAGGGCTCCAGCAGCTGCTACTGCTGGGTCATCATTCTGCCTCACTGTGCTGGAGAAAAGAAACAAAAGAACATAAAAAGTATCAGAACCAGGGACTCTTCTACATTTGCTCATGTACTCTATTTACCACAAGTAAGTAGTTGCTATATCTGCTGGTGTTGGGAAATTGCTCCTGGGGCCTGAATTTTATGCTCTTCAGGGGCCTCTCACTGGAAATTCCAGAGAGAGAATTACATTTCATGGTTCAAAGTACAGAAGTGAGAGTAGAATTTTTTTTTTAAACAGATGCAACAACTTGCCTATCTTAAGCTAATTTGATGGGGTACAATCTACACATTGGTTTATATCCTCAGTTCTCAAAATGTCTGTGGGTTCTTTGGGAAGTTTGGGGGTGGGGATTTAGCAATGTCTTTTCAAGTGCCTCTCCCCATGGCATGTACCAAAGAATCAGAGCACAATCCACAAAGCAAAATCGATACTGGGTTTTCTCAAAATCCAAATTAAAAACAAATAAATAACAACATTCAGTTTCTTTAACACAATTGTTAGAATACTAGATAAACAATGCAATACAATCCAATACAAATTTATTAAGTCCCTATTATATTCCAGGAACCGTGCTAAGCACTGGGGATCCAAATAAGAAAAGACAGTTGAAGGGGATGTGCACACACACACACATACACACACCATAGAGTCATATATGTTTGTGTATATATATATATATATATATATATATATATATATATATATATATATATATATATATATATATATATATCTTCTATCTATCTGGCTGTTTCTCTGTCTATCTATCTATCTATCTGAGTATCTATCTATACACACACAGGAAAAGGATGAGGAAGGCAAAGAGGGAATTGATGAAGAAAAGAAAACCCAAAGTGACAAGACTTTAAGGTGGCTGGGAGACAAAGAAGAAAAGT